ATGCTTTCCTTATTATTACCTTCAATAAGAAACACGGACGAGAAACAAAGCGTATATATGAATTATGGGTATAAATTTGAAACTGTCTTAGACACATTGACGTCGAATAGTGAAATACACTTAATAAGATCATTAGAAACTGGAGAAGCCTTTATTTCAAAGGTATATGACATTTATGGAGCTAGTGAAAATGACTTAAATAGATACATGAATGAATTGCATATAATGCAAAAGTTGGAAAATTGTGAAAATGTAGTCCAGTTTGTGGATTTTATTGAACAGAATGATTCGCTCTCACTTATAACTGAATTTTGTAGTCAAGGTGACTTATATACTCATATTTTAAGAAGAAAGATGAACAATGAAATGTATACTGAGACTGAAATTTTTAACATTTTTAATCAAATATTGAATGGATTAAATTCAATTCATAAAAAGGGAATAACCCACGGTGATTTGAAAAGCACGAATATTTTTATTAAGGATGATAAGATTAAGATAGGAGATTTTGGAATATCACAAAAAGGGTCAAATAATAACCTAGGGACCTTAAACTTTTTAAGTTATGAATCTATTTTATTTAAGAAAACAAATAAATTGAGTGATTTATTTCAAGTAGGTTGTATTTTATACGAATTAGCCACTTTGTCATCTCCCTTTTCTGCCAAAACCCTCAGCGATATGATTTCCTTCTTTGAAGATAAAAATTATAAAAACTATATTGTTGAGGACATTTCAAATATTTACTCAGATAAGCTAGTCAACATCATTTCAAAGCTCTTATCCTTGAACACTTTAGAGCGATTGGAAGTGATCACCAACTACAATCTCAGTAGAACGGAAAGTGTAAATTTAGACCTTTCAAATAATTCTCAATATGTTATTGCGTAAGGGAAAAAATCGCGTAATGGTGTACCCGCATGTTGAAAGTGTAGGAAATATGTGCTAATTGGGGAAGAAAAATGCGATAGCATGCGAGCCATTAACCAAACAAGCGTTTGAAGAATCGTGCAAACAGTTTAATGCAAAGTATTGCAATTGTGGCAATTTCCGCACCAATCAGAAACGAATAAATGCATTCCCCCAAGGAAGTACACAGTACGCGTACTTATGACCCTAAGGAGAATTTACGAATATCCCACATTTTGATATCACTTTTTAATTCCATGGAAAGGAAGCACAAAATGTAACTCAACTTTTGAACGCATGAAATTTGTTAACTAACAAATCACAAACCTAATCAGATAGTTAAACATTGGATGGACGTAGGATTGAACGTCTTGTAATTCTAATTCTTCATGATTAACGGATGTGACACGGCGAAAAAAAGAGGACTAACCGGGACTGGACAAAATGCACTAACCCAACAGATAAAACGGAACAAAGAAGGAAGTTATATTGGAAAAAAAATGTACAGTTAGGAGACATAATTAAAAATCCAAAAGGACATGAAGTGAAAATGGTGAACGCACAAGCATACACAACATTAGAGATAAAAAAAGAAATGATAGCAAAAAGAGATGATTAAAAGGAACTGAAATCAATTAAGCAAACAAGCTTCGCTTAAATTTAAAAATGTGAAAATACGCAGAAGAATGAAAACTGAAATGTAACAAAAGAAT